GTCAAGCTGTTGTCCATGCTGGCGGCAATGGAAGCGACAGGTTGGTCGATGGCGGGGCGAAAGAGGCTGTTGCTTGTAGGGGTAGCTATTTGGTCCGGGCTTCTTGGTTTTACCCAAAACCAGACCGTATAACCCAGATCAAGACCGGACCGGGATCGGATAACATACAATCCAATCCCATCTTCGGGCTTAGATTTGAGTTAAAGACCGGATAAGAGAGCCCAACACCAAAATTTAGCCAAATCTTCACCATTTGAGGCCTCAGGCCACTTAAATTCCAACAAGGTCAATCTAAAATGAAAATCGAATTGGGACCGGACCGGGTCAAGACCAGACCGGATCAAAACCAGACCGTATCCAATTCAATCTTTGATCATTATGTTCCCGAAAAGACCGACCGAGATCGAATCAATTCGGGCTAATTTAACCGGACCGTATAGCCACCCCTAGTTGCTTGTGAGCATCGGTGTGGTCGGGTGCTCGATGGGGTTCCTGACCGGCACTACCTTTGCTGATTCGGACGAGCAGATGGACGGTGGCACGACCTTTCCGCTGAGTTGCTTTGGGTTGGTCGTATTGGAGGCGGGGATGACCTTTGGGCTTGGGCCCATACCTTGGATGTATGAGGAGGAAATGTTTCCTCTTGCGGTGTTAGTGTTGTGGTATATGATCCACGATTGAACCTCTCCCACCAACTCGAGTTATTGAGACCAATTGGTTTATGGCATGGTATCAGAGCCTAGAACCGAAATGTCATGTGTTCGAATCTCCACGACCCCAATATTAATCATTGTCTTTCAAGCACATGGTATGGTGGCCCTGTGCAAACTTCAAGCACATGGGTTGGCTTTCGTTTGAGGGGGCATGTTAGAGAGTGGTATAAGATCCAGCATAACCTTCTCCCAACAACTCGAGTTATTGGGAGCAACTGGTTCATGATAGTCCACTTGTCTTGGAGTCAATTAACATGGTTTAGTTGAGAAGGCTGTAATGTAGGGTTGCAGTGGGAATCAAACAGTAGCTTGTTACCCAAGCAAAGTCATCAATACAGTTAGGAAGACATACACAGGAACTCTACTTCCCAACCACATTGACACATGACGAATCGTCTAGTCTAATATACTGGATCATCTACAAGCACTCCACCTGTAGTCTCCCTGACGAACCTACAAGAGAGCAAAAAGCCAACCACTACAGCTCCGCAACCAAATCCTCTCAAATGAGGAGTACAACAAAGGAAGAGTCATCTCCAAAAGTATGCCAATTGCAAATCTACAAGCAAAACAAACACCTAGGTTGGGTGCACGTAGCGCATGTCATAAACCAATTGGTTTCGATAACTCGAGTTGTTGGGAGAGGTTCAATCGTGGATCATATACCACAACACTAACACGCATCCTCAAACGAAAGCCACTCAGAAGGGCTTGAAGTTTGCACAGGTCTGAAGACAAGAATACCATGTGCTTAACAAATGAGGTCACCGGGAATCGAACACAAGACCTCTAGCCCACAGAAGGCTCTGATACCATGTCATGAACCAGTTGCTCCCAATAAATCGAGTTGTTAGGAGAAGGTTATACTGGATCTTATACCACTCTCTAACATGTACAACCGCAAGCAACCTCTCATCACAGGCTAATAGCCCAATTGTAAAAGAGATGCGCGTTACAAGTCAAAAACAAAATCACAAGGTCGTAATTCACAACATATTCAAGATGCACGTTATAGAAGACCAACCATTTTAAGACTTTTCGTCATTAGGACTATAGTTGTTTACTGGTTAAATGTCTTTTTAATGCGTTTGCTAAAAGGTAATAAAAAGACAACCATGCTTGTCAGTTTCATTATCCTTTTTTTTCCAGTGAATTAGCAATTTTTTTCTTGGAAATATATGATCCTATAATGTTTTGGTTAAGCCACCAGATTCCACCGAGAGCCTCTCCCACCTCCCAAACTTATGTTATCAGTTTCATCGGGTTAGATCAGGTCCTTAAGACCTCTTTTTTATGAAAGATCTTAAACCCCTTTCAACCAATAGGAGAAGGAGAGAGAAAATGATTTAGGTAACTACCTACCTAATATGTTAAAGGGTAAGAGAGAAATATACAAAATATTTAATGATATTATTAATTAAAATGAAAATGGCGAAAATTATTTTCGAAAAAAAAATGATTCTCCTCCCAACCCTAAAACTTCCCACCGCCGTCGTCCTCCTCGCCGATCTTCAACGGAACCGCTCCATCGTCCGGCCACGACTCCCTCTTTCGTAGTCCGGCCGTGACTCCCCCGTTTGTAGTCCATCCTCTCCGCCGCAACCGCTGTCAATTCCTCCGGCACCCCAACTACTTTTGTGGTCCATTGCCATCCAGTTTCCCGACGAATCCTTTATTCTGGTTGCGCCAATACTCCGGCCAAGAACGACGTCTTTTGGTTGACCATTCGCGCAAACATGGAACGTGCAGTTCCATTTGAGTTTGGTGTGAAAGCTTTTTTATGTTATTTGGGTTGTATATATTGTTGAAAGGTTGATTGTTCTCGTTGGCATTGCTTCTCATAGATATTGTTTTTATGTTAATAGCGTAAATAGAAATGTTGATAAGAGATGGAAAAAAGTTAATATATACCGGTGATGTCGTTGTACTAGTTAATATTTTCAATAATATGATTAATAATTGTCTCGTGGCCGTTTAGTAGGGTAATAAGATATTTTAATAACGATGTTAATATTATTAAAAAATGTAACTTGAGTGTGTTAAAACATTGATGGATAATTTTGGTTAATAATGATTTTAATAATGTTATTTGGAAATGTTAATAAGGGATGACAAAATTGATTTTTACTGGTGATTGTGTTATCATAGCGATGACGTTACCGATTAATAATTGCAATAATACAATTGATAATAGTCGCCCAGTCGGTTAATAATGTCCAATAATATGGGTTGATAACGTGGTGTATTATTGTTAAAACTGTACCTTTTATTTGTTAATAACAGTATAAAAAATATTGACATTTCAGGTTAACAAGATGTTTTCATAACGTTGTTCAATATTATTAAAAAATTTAACTTGAGTGTGTTAATAATTGCAATAATATAATTAATAATAGTTGCATGGTCGGTTAATAATGTACAATAATATGGGTTGATAATGTGGTTTATTATTGTTAAAACTGTAATGTCGTAAACAACCAACAAATTATATACAAAAATATGATAATGTTCTTTTATTTTGTTAATAATACAACGAACAAATGTTTAATGATACCTTGCATATAAACGTTGATTACGTTTCACCACATTGTTAAAAAAAATTTGAAAACAGTTAATAATTTTACAACTGTTCATTGTCAACTTTTTATAATTTACGTTAAAAATGACAAGATCTCGTTGATAATAATTGTATAAAAAACCAAAACAATATTTACGAACAGGTGACACTGTTTGTGTATTTTGTTAATAATATATCAAATGAACGTTTAATGCTACCTTGCATAAACGTTAATAACGTTAAGTTACCTTGTTAACAATTGTCCCAAAAATGTTAATAAATTAACCTGATAATGACCCATTAAATGAAACCCGAACCTTATTAATAATAACCTGAAACCTATTGATATGTTGATAATGACCCATTAAATGAAACCCGAACCTTATTAATAATAACCTGAAACCTATTGATATGTTGATAATGACCCGAAACTTATTGATGACCAACGGAAATCACTTCCGGGAAGCGCTAGGGAAAAAAGGAATAGGTTGTCGTTGCTCGTGCGATGAAGAAGAACACCGGGGCCGGAAAGCTGCACTATCAGGCTGCTGCTTGTGCGACAGGGAACAGGACAACAGGCTGGGGAAGTCGGTAAGCTGCTAATGTGGGACGCCGCAACGCCGGGAAACACTGGGGAGTTGGGACAGAGCGCGTCCTAAAGGGAAACTGGTTTTAGGTTTTCGGCGAACAGGAAGCTACGGCGCCGACGGCGGAGACGGCCGGATACTGCTGACGAATGGACAGCCGGAAAACATAGACAAAAATCCCCGACGGCGGAGACGGCTGGTGACTGCTGTACATGTTGAGGAGAGTATCATGTTACGCCGATAGGGAGAAAAACCGACGTGTTGGGACGTGGGTTTCAAAAATAGTAGGGTTTATTATTTATATTTTATATTATTCATAATTCCCAGCATACCTTTGACAACTAATAACTCCTCCATAACTAATAACTCCTCACTAACTATCTAAACTCAAATCAGCCAATCACAACGCTTTAAGATCCTCCTTAAGAAAGAAGGCTTAAGGACTTGAACTTAGGCCCAGTTTCATTGCTTTAATTAGTTATTTTGCGCACATGTATAATTGGCAAAAGTAACATATAGAATCTCATATAATATATGTATGGTAATTCTTAGGCCAAATACACTTGTATAGCCAAAACTTTGACGGTTTTGCTAAATATAGCCACTTTTGGAGAAATACCAATAATAGCCACTTTTATCTAATTGTTTGACGGTGTTAGTTAACATGCTGACTGTAGTAACGAAAAAGTTGACGTGGCAAAATTTCTGTAAGTAACAATGCCACATGGATTAACTTTAAAATATAAAAAATAAAATGAAAAATAAATTATCCCTCTCTCCCTCATTTTCTCCAATCCCACTTTATCCCCCTTATCCATCTTCCTTCGATTCCCTCTTCTTCCCCTGATCCCTATTTCTCAGATCCCATCTTCTCCCCCGTATCCCTCTTCCTTCGAAGGACGACGCGTCCACCTTTCTTCTTCCCCATCCATTCCCTAGCCTAAACTCTCTATTCTTAAAACTCTCTCGATTCTTCTATCACGGCTGGATTCTTGCCGGAGCTCTTCACCCTCTCCTTCCACTCTCTCCACCTCGCACCACTCACCCACGCCGACACTGCTTTGTCCTCCCAAATCTCCATTCCACCGCCAGATTCTTAAACCCCCCAACCTAGATCTCCAACGCTTTTAACAAACCCAGATTATGGATGGGGATTCATTTAGGGATTTGATGGGCTGCGAGTGTGATGGTTTGATTCACGGGCAAAACGGCTCGGAAACAGGAAGAGAAGTAGCGGCGTCGGGAGATGCTGGGCCGGCGAGGTCGAAGAACAAGCCGAAGCCTCTGGTGGTGATAACCAAGGAAAGCCCCAACTCCCTCCGGAGCCACATCCTCGAGGTCGGCTCCGGCAGCGACATCGCCGAGAGCGTGGCCGGGTTCGCGCAGCGACGGCACCGCGAGGTGTCGATCCTGAGTGGGAACGGCGTCGTAACGAATGTCACTCTCGGCCAGCCGGCGGCTGCCGGCGGGGTCATCGCCCTCCATGGGAGCTTCGAGATCTTGTCGCTGTCGGGCTAGTTCCTCCCCGCGCCATCGCCACCCGAGGCGGAGGGGGGGGGGTGACCGTTTACCTGACGGGCAGGGGCAGGTCGTGGGAGGGAGGATTGTGGGCCCGCTGGTTGCTGCCGGCCCAGCAGCTCCCGACGCCGCTACTTCTCTTCCTACTGAAATTCTGGGAGTGAAGACATGGGAGGGGAGTTCGATAGGGGAAGAGAGATTTGGGAGCTTGGCAGCGGTGGCGAGGAATGGCCGGCGGTAGCTGGTGGTTTTGATGGAGAAGAAGAGGGGTTGCTTGAGGAGAAAGAAGAGAGTTCGAAGAGATTAGGTCAATAGGGATATGGCAAATTTTTTTATTTTTTTATTTATTTTTGTAAATGATGTGTCGTGTGAGTGCTGAGTTGGAAATGAAATGGAGGGTGAGTTGGCAGCCAATTCAGCGTTCCGTTAATTTAACTAACGGTGTCACTGACGACGTTAAATTATGTAACGGAAATGGCTATTATTGTCATCAAACTTTCAAAAATCTGGCTATTATTGGTATTTCTCCAAAAGTGGCTATATTTGGCAAAATCGTCAAAGTTTTGGCTATACAGGTGTATTTGGCCTAATATTCTTATTGATCTTATAAGTTTCCCGATTTTTTTTTATGATTCAAAAGTTTTAAATCAACCGAACTAACTCGGTATGGAGTATTGCATCAAGAACAACCACACACAAAATAAGGCAACAAATCTTTTAACAACGACGAACATACTAACAAATTGTGTCAATGTGGTTGGGAAGTAGAGTTCTATGTAGTGTGTACGTAGGGATGGCAATGGGCGGGTTTGGGACGAGTTTGCCTAAAGCATCCCCATCCCCGCTTTCAAATATCTATATCCATACCCGCCCCATACCCATGCGGGGAAGGTTTTGCAAACTCATCCACATACCCATGGATGTCGGGTACCCATGGGTAATACCGCCCTGTACATCCAATATTATAATACCGAACATTTTACAAATAGATTTTCAATTTTAACATTAAATGCACCTACTATATCATGAAGTCGACAAAGAGACAATCATTTTTAATACGATTCAAAGCATCCGTTAATCCATATCAGAGTATAGTACAATGTAATCCAAATCATTATTCTTTACTCTGATACATCTACTAAGTAATAATTAACTAACATAATCTTCTTAACAAGGGAAAAAAAAGAGTGAAGGGAAAATTGAGAGAGAAATTAAATTTTGATTTGGGTGGCCACTCAATTGCATTTCTACTATATATTTTTCTTGATTTGTACTCACTATTATTGATAGGTTATAAATTGATTCACATATTTTTCATATATGAAGAGATATTTTTGGTGGGGCGGGGGACGCTAAAACCATACCCGCCCCATACCCATCAAACTTTTTACGGGTTTTACCCATACCCTGTCAATGCGGAAATTTTCCGCGTTGACTGGATCGGGGGCGGTCGGATACCCGTAGGCATGGGGTTTGATTGTCATCCCTATGTGTACGTCTTTCTAACTGTACCGATGATGACTTTGCTTGGCTAGTAAGCCACTTTTTGACTTCCACTGTAATCATACACTAGTTTTTTGGCCCGCTGGGAAACGGTGCGGTCTGGTCCAGACCAGACCATCTATACGGTCTATGATCCAGACCGAGAGGCTAAAGTATAGACCACAGACCAGACCACAGACTATACGGTTCGGTCCAGACCACGCATGTGTGGTCTGGTTCGGTCTGGTCTGGTCCAGATAGACCACACTCAACGAAAAATGAATAATTTGTTTAGTCAACCACATAAAAAAATTGAACCAATAACCAGGAAAAATAATTGTTATTTGCCTTAAATCATTAATCCTAACATGCATGAATAATTTTGATACTCTAAATCTTAGTACATACCAAAGATACAAAGTAAAAGCATCCCAACTTGCACCATAACGTCATAAACATTAACATAATGTCATATGGAGACACAATTATCTCTACTCTCTAGTTAAATGTGGTTGTAAATTAAGGAGGGACGAGATTCACAAAACTAAGGTTGAGACTTGGGTGTCGTTTTGGGAGTCGGGAGAGTGGTCGAATGGGCTGTTAACACCTATTTACAAGTCGGTTGGGTCCACGGTTTGGTCCGGTAAACCGCGGTCTAGATCAGACCAGACCAAGAGATTAAAATATAAAATAGTACAGACCATGGACCAGACCAGACCATACTTTACGGTCTACGGTCCGGACCAAACTGTACGGTACGGTTTAAACCACGGTTTTTCTAACGGTCTGGTCTATTTTCCCAGCCCTACGTAGCGGTATGAAACTAATTATTTTTTAAATGTCTTCACTCATTTAACTATGTAATTGACATCATACAATTCAGAAATAGTTTGGGTAGTTATTAAAAAAAAGTTCGTGTAAAATACCTACATAAATTTTATGTGTTATCTTATTTATTACGGTAGAATTATGTAACATATTTATTTAATGATACGTAATAAATGATTGGGTGTGCCTACGGTGACATGCATGTCACGGTGACTTGCACTTTCCGGTCGACCTCAGTTAGGATTAGGTCGACCTCATTTAGAATTCGGTCGACCTCATATAGGATCTGGTCGACCTCATTTAGGATTCGGTCGACCTCATATAGGATCAGGTCGACCTAATCTGTTGTTTTAGTGTCAAAACAGTTCATGGTGCCTACTTTGGATATTCATATCATACAATTGGCTAGATGGAAATTGAAGACTAATGACTTGTTTTGAAGCTGGAGTGTCCCTCTACATATTGAAGTGAAAGAGAGCTCGATAGAAAGTCCAGAAGACCATTTTCGAACCTGACCAAAAGGCTATGCCAAAACTGGGAAACTGTCTGAAAATGTCTAAGTCTGGCAAAGTGTTTGTCAAGCCTACGTTGGAGCTCAATTTGAGAAGCATGAATGCGAGTCAAGTCCAGGAGCCTCTACCACGGTGTATGGGCTCAATGTTATTTGGGTTCGGGTTCTGGGCCTGGTCTGTAACCGTTTCCTTTGTCAGATTGGATTAGGTTTAGACCCACATAGAGAAGTACTATAAATACTTCTCATACTCCTCTGTAATCGGTAATCTCCTCAATATAGTGAAACTGGCTCTCTCTCGCCCGTGGACGTAGCTAACACACATCGTGTTAGTGAACCACGTAAATCGTGTGTCGTGTTTTCGATTCTCGCTTTCGTATTCTTGCTTTGTCGATTCCTACGATTTCCGGATCCGTAGCAGTGCGTCTATAACAAGTGGTATCAGAGCCGCGGCTGGAAATCAGGTTAGGGTTTTCGATTCAGAAGAATGACGTCGGTGAACATGAAGATCGAAAAGTTCACGGGGAAGAACAGCTTCGCTATATGGCATATCAAGATCCAGGCTTTATTAAAACAGCAAGGGCTGTGGGGGCCGCTGTCTGCGAAACAGAAGAAGGCAGCGGTCGATGACGATGAGTGGAACACCCTGGAGTAGAAGGCCCACTCGACCATCATGCTATCGTTGTCTGATGACGTCATCATTGAAGTCGCTGCTGAGAAGACTGCCGCAGGCTTGTGGTTGAAACTAGAGAGTCTGTACATGACTAAGTCTCTAACCAACAAGCTGCATCTCAAGCAACGATTGTTCAGCTTGAGGATGCAAGAAGGTACGCCTTTGAGGGAACATCTCGAACAACTTAACTCTATTTTGCTGGATCTGCGTAATATAGATGTTCAAGTTGATGACGAGGATGCTGCCCTAATCCTGCTGGTTTCTTTGCCGAGTTCATATGAGAATTTCGTTGATTCTTTTATTGCTGGTAAAGAAAGTGTGTCGTTGGAGGATGTCAGGTCTGCTCTTCATACGAGAGAGATCAGACATAAGGCGTCCGGATCTGGTACAGGTGGTGAGGCATCGGGTTTGGCTGTTACAGGTATAGGTGTCAATCGGGCGGGTTCGGGCTGGGTTCAATCGGGTTCGGGTTCAAACGGGTTGCGGGTTCGGGTTCAATTGGGTTGCGGACAAACGGGTTGCGGGTTCATCGGGTTTTGGGTCGGGCGGGTTGCGGGCGGATCGGGTTTCGGGTTTTTCTGGCCAGCGCATCGAGTAACTTACTCATCACTCGTTACCAATTTACACATTTTATTACACTAATTTAAAATATTTTTCTCAACTTTTTAACCAATTTATTTCTACGTCGTATATATATACTTAATTTTTTTTAACTAGTCAAAATGTTAAATCAATTTGTATGACTTGCAAACTTGGTATGTAATTAATCATAATTGGTAAAGTACAGTAGCTAATAGTAATGGTGATATCAATATTTGCAACCAAAAGACACCATTAGTTGTTTATTTGATATTTTAGTATTATTTCAGTAGTAATTGGATTAAAGTATCTTGTTTAGTATAACCATGCAAATATGGTATTTGGTTTGTGGTAATTGGCAAAAGCAGAGTGATAAAATGAGTTATTTCGAAATAACTCATTGCCCAAATAACTTCAGTATTGCCAAACGATTTATTTGTAAAATTGTTTGAATTGTCCTAAAGATTAACTATCAAATTTAGTAAAATTATTGTGACTTCAATCATAACTTACTGAATAACATATATCCAACAAAGTTAGCCTTATCCTCAATCGATAATATTAAGTTAGTATATGTTGTTGATTGAATACCCTAAACTATCAATACATTATACACTAACCACATACCCTATACCCTAACCATATGTCCTTATGAGTTGTAATTTTGCTAGTAGAGTTCATTTAAAAGTGAGATTCATACTTTGATTTTCAAAACATAGATAGAAAGTGATATTTGCTAATTGCTATACCTAGGGCTGCAAATGAGCCAAGCCGCTCACGAACAGCTCGGAGCTCGGCTCGAGAAATATTCGTTCGATACTCGGCTCGTTTCTTAATTAGCTGGCTCGTTAGTTCGCTCGTTTACTAATGAGCCAAACATGAGCTAGGTCCAGCTCAACTCGTCAGGCTCGCAAGCTAGCTCGGCTC